GGTGACGCGTCTGCGTTCCACGTCTGGGGCTGCCTTGCTCACATTCGTGCCTCTGGCACGGACAAGCTCACTGCCCACACTGTCCCCTGTGTCTTCCTCGGTTTCCCCCTGGACTCGTCTGACTGGCTTTTCTACCACCCGCCGTCTCACCGCTTCCTCCACTCTCGTGACGTCACCTTTGACGAGTCCGTCTCCTTCTACCGCCGCTTCCCTCACCGATGTCTCCCAGTTGCCCCCCCCCTGTTCCTTGCTCCCTCTCCCCAGGTAGCCCCTGCCCCTCTCCCGCCTCGTCCTGCCCCGTCTGGTGTCTCTCACGTCACTCCCCTCCCGTCGGTTGTCCCCGTTGAGGAGTCTGCTGACTCTGGTGGTACCCTCGGTCCGTCCTTGCCGCGTCCCCCTTCCCCGGTGCCTCCGCCCCCACTGTCGCAGTCGCCGACCCCGCTGCCGCCGCCGTCGCCGTCGCTGCCGCAGCCGTCGCCGCTGTCGTCGCCACCGCAGCCGTCGCCGCCGCCGCCGCCGTCGCTGCCGCAGCCGTCGCCGCTGTCGCCGCCGCCGCAGCCGTCGCCGCCACTGCCGCCGCCGCTCTTGGCCCCTGGGGGTGCTGGTTTGGAGGAGGGTGTTCGTCTTGCGGCTTCTGGGGGTGCCGCTGGTGTTGGAGGGGGTTCTCGCTCTGGGGGTGTTGGTTCTGGGGGTGCTGCTATTGAGTGTTCTGCCGACGGTCGTTCCGCCTCTGCTGGTCCGAGAGTTCCGGCCCAGCCGTCGTCGCCGCCACAGCAGCCGTCGCCGCCGGTCTCCGCTCTCCGCCTGCTCGGCCTTCCCTCCCCGGACCGCGCGCCGGTGTCTCCCCCACCGCCTGCTGAGCTTCCTGTCTACGGTCCTGTGTTCCCGCCGCCGGACTCGTCTCCGGCCCGTCTTCCTTCTCGTTCCCCTCCTGCGTCTCCTCCGCTGTCCCCTGACCCTACACCTCCGTCTCACGTTTGGGCTTGCCGTCCCTCCCGTGCTCGTCCCGTCTCTCCTGTCCTGCCCACCCACCCTATGTTGCTCCGTTCCCGCTCGTCTCGTCCTCCCCTCCTCCCTCGTCCCTTGCTGTTGCACCTCCTCCGTTCTCTGACTACCTCCGTGCTCCTCGTCCCCTTGTCCCTCGGGTCCTTGCCTCTCTTGTTACCGACCCTGCTGTTCCTGTCTCGCGCCTTGACGCGCTTGTCGCTGCTGTCGCTGACTTCGCCTCTACCCGCCGCCTTGACTACGCTACCACTCTGGTCTCTGACCCTGCCCGTCCTCCGTCCGTCGGGGGTGCTTCTGCCCTTGGCAGTGACGTCCTAGAGGACAGGCAGTACGAGCTCGCTTTCCTTTCCGAGGCTGCTCCCCATCGCTCTGATACCATGTCAAAGTGAGAAACGAATAATTACTAGAAGTGGAAACCTAGAACAAATACTAGTTGGCTGTACTCACTAGAAGCATACCTCAGTCTAGCCTATAACTTCTACATAGATAATATGTATAAGTTGACACTGCGCAACTCGTGTGGGTAACTTGACTTGGCAATTTTCGCCAAACAACTTTGGGGTGGGGTGGGGCACGCATATCAACTGTTGTAAAGAACATTGGTGTTTTCATGCCGCTCGCACGAAAAATGCAAATCGAAACGCGAAATTAGATTTGGTGTGGGGAATCTAGTAACAAACAATTCGCTATCGTTTCAGGCACTTCGCAAGCTGTGATTCCTGCGCTGTGCAACTTGAGCCATTTTTTGCAGAAGTACCACGCCCTTAGGCGTGGTGGCGCTGGGCTGGGTTGCACTTCAAAAGTCCCAAAATGTATGAGCGCAAGTTTCAAGTTTCTTTCCGCTCAAACGCCTGGTGTATTGGGGGCAGGGGCGAAATTGGTTGGGGGTGGCGCACGCCTATCACATGATTCCCGTCTTTTTGGCGCGCGATCTGAGTTTTCCCCCTCGTTTTGCGGAACTGGGTTACCAGTGTTAAAATTATATAAGTTATAATTTAATATAGGCTTGGTAGGTTATTATTGAACCTTTCTGTAGGGGGTACAAACCCCTCCTTGTACTCCCCTCTCTTCCTAATCCAACCACTTTTCTTCTCTCACTTCCTGGATCCGTTTCTCCTCACGCTATTCCATGGCGGCCTTCTTCCTAGTATTCTAGCCAACCTAGCCTCCTAAGTTTAAGAACCTTGAGTCCTAAGTTTCTAAGATGGTATCAGAGCCGGTCGTGTCCACCGGACCCTCTCCCTACGTTCCCGTTGCGTACTCCTACTGCATTCGCAGCCTTCGCGGTTTTCTGCCTGCCTGCCGTCGCGGCACTAAGTTGTCGCGACGGCCCCTTGTTGCCTGCCGTCGCGGCGCCAGGATGTCGCGACGGCCCCTTGTTGCCTGCCGTCGCGGCACCAAGATCTCGCGACGGTCCCTCGTTGCCTACCGTCGCGGCGCCAAGGTGTCGCGACGGCCCCTTGGTGCAGCCGTCGCCCGTCCGCCTCGCCGCTGCGACATTGACGGTGCGCTGTGGCGGCGTCTGCGGCAGCCGACGGCATCGTCGGGCTGCGGCCGGCCGAGCGACGTCTGTGGCGTCGCCGGGCCTGCCGCCCGCTCGCCACAGACGGGCGTCCCTCAGGACGACGTCCTCCCGCCAGTAAGCGCCGCGCCATTTATGGCGCGTCGCTGAAGACTCGCCTCGCCCCGCCCCCTCCCCTCCCCCCCCCACCTGCACCTGCTTCCCCTGCATCCCCCCCTTTCTTGCTGCAGCCGATGACTGCCATATGAGGGACCTCTCCACCGCCGAGGAGACAGGACATGCCGCCGAGAGGGCGGGGGCCGCCGCACCAGCCTCTGTCGTTCGAGCCGCCGGCGCCGCCGCTGTTGCCGCAGGCCTGGAGCCGCCGCACACCGCCGCCGCCGCCGCCGTCGTCACTGTCGTTGCTGCCGCCATTGCCGTCTCAAGGGGCCGTGAGACCTACCCTCTTCCGGAGTCGTTGCGGCTCCTGCTGGGAATGGGGGTGCTGGGCTAGGGGGTGTGGGTGTGGGTGTGGGTGTGGGGGTGTGCGTGGGCTTGACACTACCAAGCCTAGGGGGTGTGTTAAAATTATATAAGTTATAATTTAATATAGGCTTGGTAGGTTGTTATTGAACCTTTCTGTAGGGGGTACAAACCCCTCCTTGTACTCCCCTCTCTTCCTAATCCAACCACCTTTCTTCTCTCACTTCCTAGATCCGTTTCTCCTCACGCCATTCCATGGCGGCCTTCTTCCTAGTATTCTAGCCAACCTAGCCTCCTAAGTTTAAGAACCTTGAGTCCTAAGTTTCTAAGAACCAGAAGGGCAGTTTCAAGATTAATAAACTTGAAACAAATTTCTGCAATTTGGTTTAACGGCTTTAAGCTGATTTCTGTTTCGTAGAATGACACATTGTGATGACATGATTTGAGTACAAGTCATATTCCCTGAGAGCCCGGGGGGCGACTTGGGGGATTTCGCGTACATCGAATATGCTCGGGCAAACGGGACTCTGGCGTGTCGCAAAATGTTTTTTGCTTGTATTTTATGAACTGTTCATGGTCGGCAGTGTTGGCGTTTGTTGCGATCAGGTGTCGCTCACCATGTCGTACGCGCGTCAACTCAGGGTTCATGGTAAAGTTTTAGATTCCATACAACATTCAATGCGCTCTATCAAAACAAGGAAAAGGCATTTGCATTTGAGAAAATCGCAAATGAACGTGGTATGAGAACATCGACGAGAACGGTAACCAGTTTTGTTTGCGCATCCTGATTCATTTCAGAGTGATATAAAACAAGCCCCCAATTGTACAAACATTACTCACACAATTTGTGGGGCAAACGTGGAGGAACATAAATGGCTGATCTAGTGGTTGTTGGATTTTCCAGAAAGTGATGTGGATTCGGCTCCGAGCATTGGTTGACGATTCTGACACAAACAGCCAGTGTCAGATCGCCTGCCATTGAAAATCGTCGCACGAAAACACTGATTGGCTTTCGAAAAAAATGTTGTCAATTGACTGTAATGAGTACTGTTCACATGACACGGGTACACTTTGCCTACAAGGAGACGCCCGTAAGGATAAAATGCCTATGAGATACTCCTTGGCGTAAAAGGAAGTCGTCTACAAGGCATATGATCTGTATAGCAAATTGAGACCAAGCAGCACAAGGATCTGAAGCACATGAAGCGTCCATTGTTGGGGATGGTTGACAATTTTCGGAGGAATCCTGTAAGAGCAATTCCAGAGTGATGGTCCACATCGGTCGACAAGACGGATGTCGGGAGCACCGATCTGCAGCATGTGTAAAATCCTACAAAATGTTACAAAGCACAAAAGAACCGTGCTGTACCTTCGGAGGATGTTGGTCGGATTTTGTCGACATCCATTCTGGACACAGCCTAAACCGTCCAGCCACGCGACGAACGGTGGGTCGTCCGATTGACTCCGAAATTGATGTCGGGCAGGTCAAATTCAAATGTGAGTGGCAGCTGTGGCTTTGTCCCTCACTCCTGGGGGTTGCTGTTGACGAAACCGAAGCAAAAATCTCTCTCGCGGGTGGCAACAATGGTCTCGATTTTGGTTTCTTGTTGAACAGGCTAGACGCTCGCTGGAGAAGCTTGCAGTGGGTGGCAGGCAACTTGTGTGCATTACAGAACTGCCGTGATGACGTGTACTGAATGTGTTCATCATTCGCCTGAAGGTCTAAGAAGGTGAGTAGGTGCTGAGAAGGGGGGTCATTCATCAGAAGCCAAATCAAGGCCGTGTTCGGTTGGCCCTGTTCGTCGCTAGCTGCTTCTGTACCTCCAATGGCTTGTTCCAAGGTGAACTTGCGGCTCATTCGTGGTTGTGACAGGTAAGCATTTCACCATCTCCATCTAGAGATTGCTTTTGGAATGTACAGCTCGGTGTTATTTGTTCCTGATGTAAAAATATTTCCACAGGCTTGCATTTGATACACGCTTCTAAACGTTAATGATGAGAGAAACAAGCCGTCACACAAATCGTGGAATTTCATTATGTATGTAGCCGTGCATCGCATGAATGGGGTGACATGCAACTGTGGTCTTGCATTATCGACTCCTACAATTGGCCTGCCCTGCCCACACTGCCCGCACCAACTCTGAGTCACCTCAAAATCATCAGACTACCACACCAGCAGCACCAGCAGCACCAGCAGCAACACTAGCAACACCAGCAGTCGACGCACCATCACCACCTGAAGCACAAGCACAGCACACGCTGAAGCCTCAATCTCTCTCCAAACAGCACTGCCCTCTGTGTGTCCATGCTGGCTCTAACCTGCACCATTAGCCGTAACGCCACCAATACCGCCAATACCAGCACCAGCACCAGCACCAGCAGCAACAGCACCAGCAGCAGCAGCGGCACGGAGTGCCGCTCTCTCCCTAACAACCCTCATTCTCTCCTCATACAGCGTTGCCTGTCAATGCTCTCTCTACTAACCTGCACCATCAGCTGTAACGCCACCAATGCCGCCAATACCCGGAATACCACCACCTGCACCAGCAGCAGCACGGAGTGCCGCTCTCTCCCTAACAAGCCTCATTCTCTCCTCAAACAACGCGGCTCTCTGCCTGTCGATGCTCGCCCTCTCCCGGCCCATCAACTGCTCCAGCCTCTCAAATTGAAGCATCTTGCGCTCCATCTTCAGGCACTGGGGGGGGTTGGGGGGAGCGTGGGGGAGGGGAAGGGGGAGGGGGGAGGAGTGGGGAAGAGTGGAGGGTATTTATGAGAAAGGATGACGATGCTCGCCCTCTCCCGTGCCATCAGCTTCTCTAGCCGCTCAAACTGAAGCATCTTCCGCTCCATCTTCAGGCACTGGGGGGGGTTGGGGGGAGCGTGGGGGAGGGGAAGGGGGAGGGGGGAGGAGTGGGGAAGAGTGGAGGGTATTTATGAGAAAGGATGTCGATGCTCGCCCTTTCCCGTGGCATCAGCTGCTCTAGCCGCTCGAACGGAAGCATCTTCCGCTCCATCTTCAGGCACTGGGGGGGGGGAAGGGGAAGTAGGCGACGGAACACATAACAAGGAATCACTTCCTTCTGTCTGTGCTCGCTCTTTTTCGTGCTGTCTGTGCTCGGCCTCCCCCGCACCCTCTCCTGTGCTCTACCTCGATCGAGTTTGGCCCCAACAATCCACCTGTTTGGCCACCAGTTCAGCCATCACTCGCCGCATCTCCCTCTGCTCCTCCTCGCCAAACACACAGAGGACTACGCACATTGATCCACCCATAACACCATGCACATCAAAGGAACCTACCTGTTTGGCCACAACACCATACCTTTTTGGCCCCTTACCTGTTTGGCCACCAGCTCAGCCATGACTCGCCGCATCTCCCTCTCCTCCTCCTCCGCCATCAGCTTCGCCTTCACTGCTGCAGCAGCCATTGCCGTCGCGGCGGCCGCTCGAATTCGCAGCGCTGAAGGCAAGTCGCAGAGAGACGGAGCTTGGCGCCGGGGGCCTTGCGGCTCTCCTCCTCCTCCTGCTGCTGCTTCTGTTGCTGCTCCTGCTTTTGCTGGTGCGGGTTTCTCTCCTCCTCTTGCCGTGGCAGCAGCTGCTGCTGCTGCTGGGAGTGGGGTCACACTGTCACTGGGCCTCTCGCTTGCGATCACAACACCCTCATCCGTCTTCTCACCCTTCGTTCCCTCCTCGGCTTCCTTTTCCTCCCCTTCCTTCTCGCCCCCTTCCTTTTTCAATCCATGCCCTTCCTGCCCTTCCTCTCCCCCCCTCCCATCGCCCTTGCTGCTCTCTCTACCCATATCAACATCCATAGCAGCAGCTCCATCAACCTTAACCCCCTCATCCCCCTCCCTTCCCCCCTCCTTTCCCTCACTCTTTCCCTCTCTACCTGGTAACCCTTCCCCAGAAGTATCCGCACCTTTTGCACCAGCCTCACTTCGATCACTCTCCTTTATTAGACTGACACTCTCACTTTCCCTGCCCTCCATCTCTTTATTCCCCTCCTTTCCCTCCCCTCCTCCTCCCTCGCCTCGCCCCTCCTGACCCTTCTCCCTAACAGCAGCACCAGACGGACGACCCACAGCACTGCCTTCAGCAGCAGGAGCCCCAGGAGGCGCAGGAGATGCACCATCACCATCCCCTTTAGCAGCATCTCCTTTAATAGCACCTTCGCCTGCTTCTCCGTCTCCTCCTGCTGCTCCTGCTGCAGCCCCCCTGTCATCACCCAGAGTGTCCTTTTCTCCACCGGCTTTGGTGGCACCACCATCAGCAGCAGCAACAGGAGCAGCAACAGGAGCAGCAGCAGCAGCAGCAACGCCACTATCACCAGCAGAAGCTGCGGCTGCCACTGCATCTGCCTTTGCGGCTGCCCCTGCCTTCGCCTCTCGCTCTGCCTCTCCTTCTCTCGCTGTTCCTGCCGCCTCAGTCTCACCCTTACCCGTCGCTGCCGCCACTGCCTTTGCCGCTTGCTCTGGTGCTCCCTTACCCACCCCTGCCCCTGCCTTAGCCACTTCCGCTGCTGCTGCCCTTGCCTCTTCCTCTGCTGCTGCTGCTGCTGCTGCTGCCTTTGCCTCTTCCTCCGCTGCAGCAGCTTGGTGCAATTCAGCCAGGGCGGAGGGGTCTTCAAACACCAGCGCGGCCAGAGCAGCCTGAGCAGCAGCAGCTGCCACTCGGGGACCAATCATCCCCGCTATAAACCCCACCTGAGCCATGATCGGGTTACCACTGTCACCAAATGGTATCGGCTCCTCTACGCCTATCACTGCCTGCCTCTGCGGCGGCTCAAGCTCCGACCCCTTTCTCTTAATGCCTCTGCCTTTTCCCTCAGCCCTCGCACCGGTCTCCTCTGCTGCTTCTGCTTCTTCTGCTGCTGCTGCTTCGCCAGTAACAGCCTTCCTTTCCGCCTCCTCCTCAGCTCCGCGCTCCTCGCCCCTGCTCGCCCTTCCCCCCTCTCCTTCCACGTCAGCATCGTGCATTTCCACGTCCCCTTTCTTCTCGCTCGCCCCGGCTACAGCAGCAGCAGTAGCAGCACCACCAGATACAGGTGCTTCTGGCGCAGGTGCTTCTCGAGCAGGTGTAACTGAAGCAGCAAGTGGCGCACTTAAGGACTCGAAAGAATCACCCATGGGCATGCGTACAAAGTAGGCCAGACACTGCGCTCGGTCCTTAGTGCCCACATGCCCCGCCACCTTCTCCCAGCTATCTCCAAACAACTCAATCCCCTCCAGAAGTAATAACACCTCCTCCTCACTCCAACCACTTCCCGCTGCTGCTGCTGCTGCTGCTGCTGCTGCCGCCGCCTCTGCTGCTGCTGCATCTGCTGCCGAAGCTGTCCCCGACTCTGGAGCTCCCGAACCTCCTCCAGCTCCCGCCGGACCTGCGCCCGAGCCTGCTGAGATTCCTGTGCTGACTGCAGCTGCAGCGGCGGCAGCTGTAGCAGCAGCAGCAGGCGCTCCTGCTGCTATAGCGGGGGTGCTCTCCACAGTCACACTCACTCTTGCTGCGTCTGATGGTACAATAGGTGCCTCCACACGCAAGAACTCAACTAGCGACCGGGACGAAGGGACTTTTCCCTGAGAGAAACACTTAGGACAGAGATCCATGGGCGGGTGCTTAGCGGAGTGGTAACGTAGCTTAGTGCACAAAGTACCGCACGTGCTACAGTGCGCATCTGTCACCATTCCCAGCAGCGCCAGCTCAGCAGTTCTCACTGTTGCAGGCTTCCTCGCTCCGGCTGCTCCCAAACCTGCTGCCAAACCTCCAGCTCCGGGCATACCAGCAGGCACGGCTCTCCGAGCGAAGGAGCAGACCAGATCCGACGCCATAAGCCCCTCTTGCTTGATTCCAGGAACGACGATACGAGACACACCGCCTTTAGCAGCTAAGTCTGATTCCAAAGGCGCAATCTCGGGCCAGGGGTTAAGGGCAGCAGAGGCGGCAGCATCAGCAGCAGTGGTGTCAGTGGTATCCTGTACTGCTGCGACTGCTGCTGCTGCTGCTGCGGCTGCACGCCTGCGAGTGGTTAAACCGGTGGATGAAGCAGCAGCCGCAGCAGCAGCAATGGCAGCCGCAGCAGCAGCAGCAGCGGCAGAGGCATTAGCTGCTGCTCCTGCCCCGCCTCCCCCTGCCACGTCAGCATTGATCAGCCCCCACTGGTCGAGAAAGTCAAAGACTCGGCGGATCGAGCTCACGTCGCCGACCAATGCCCGGCGGACACGTGTGAATGTCAGCGGCCAATCGGAAGGCGGCATCTGGCAGTACATGGTGATAATGGCATCTCGGTATTCCTTGTAGAGAGCGGGGGTTTTGGCAGGTGGAGGAGGAGGGAAAATGGTGGAGGTGGGTAGTTGCGGTGAGGGTGGGGAGAGGAAGAATTCCGGTACTCCACGCTTTTCCAAGGGATGGATCTTGTCCCATCTGAACCAGCCTGTGCGGTTGAGAGGGGTTGAAAGGGGTGGTGAGAGGTGGTGAGCGAAAAGCGTGTCAGCAAGCTTGACTGAGCTGCTAAGGGTTCATCGATCTGAAGCACGCCAGCTGTAGGATCAAACCAATCATCGATATATTTGAAATACAACGAGCCCAAAAGATCAAGAGTTGAAATGAACACCAGCCAGTTAAGCGTTCACAAAATACGAGTATTGAAATTCATGCAAAAGCGACTCACTCGCGTGGCAGGGAACGCGGTACAGTCTTCGCTTTGATCGGAGTGCTGCCGGAACCTCCTTCTCCGGTTGCTCCTGCTGCTTCGTCCTCCCCTCGTCCGCTCCAGGCATCAGCTCGTGCACAGCAGCTTCCGAGGCGTCTCCCGCACGATCCGCCGCACCATTCGCCCCACCGTCCCTCCCAGATCCCTTCTCACCAGGAGCGTCAGCGGCGTTCGCATCGTGCATATATTCTTTCCTAAGCTCTTCCTGCTGCTGTTGGTGATTACTGTTTCTATCTTGCTGCTCGTGTCCACTGTCCTGCTGGCCTGGCTCGTTCGCTGTTTCCTCAGACGGAATTTCGTCTGCCACGTACGCCTGCAACGCGCCTTCCATCATATCTTCGTCGATGTCCATGACTTTCACTTGAAGCCCGATGGGACCTCGAAAGTGCCCTACCTAGACGATGAAATACGAGAGCAATGTACATACCCCAAAGCTGAAGTAGGCTCGAGTTGATGGGTTCCCCTATCCTCAAACTTTGTTGCGTAAGGGGGTGGGCGTGTTGCCTCAGTGTACGTCTTTTGAATTCTGTACGTGTTGTATGAAAAACAAAGTAACTCCAATTTGTGAAGTTTGGTTGGTGGCACCTAATCTTGAGAAACCATGAGCACTTTGAATGTTTTATTTAACAAGTCCAGTATATTTGACTCAATCGTTTCACACGAGTTCTATTATCACAGGTTTCCAGCCTGACTGAATAGATCGCGAAAGGCACATCCATTTCTGAACGGTTGACTGCTCACATTTGTTTCAGAATTTGATGGCTCATGTGCATCCTTCACAAAGAGCAGTACTATCCTGCCCATCCTTCAGGGGTGTCCAAGGAAGTAGCCAGAGGGCCAACCGTTTCAGTCTGCACCATCTTCCTCTCAGCTCCCAGGAGCTGCACCAGGACTCGAAACACATTCGAGGAAATTGTGCCAATAGCATGGTCGCTGATCTTGTATGCCAGGGAGAAGCTTGCGAGAAAATGATCCTGAATGCCTCTCTTCTCATCTGCAGGGACATTCACATGTCCACCAACCCTTTCCAGAACCGTTCTGTCAGTCAAGTTGTCATACATGAGCAGTGGGCCCTCTGGAATAGTAGACACATAGCTCTCCATATTCTTGATGACAGTCTGACTGTCGCTCATGATGAAGAGGCTGTTCCAATGCATGCTCAGATTTGCTGCTGAAGTTTCGATGGCATTTGTGTAGTTGCTCAAGCCTCGGTACTGGTGACCATTAAGCCTCCAGAAAGGATCTGCAGAGAGTGTACAAGGTAAGAAGAGTGAATAATCAGTTGTAAGGTAATCGCAATAAGATCCTTACCTTCTTGTTCCTTGTCTGTTCGCCTTATGTGAAGAGACACCGTGGGCCTTGACCAAGCTGGATACTGCTTCAGAATGTCCTTTTCAAGGTCATGAATGTGGGGGTGCGGCTGAAAGAGCCATCGGCTGATGATCGCATGTAGCATGAATGTTGGCCCTGAACCAGGAAAGAACCCTGCCACATCTGCATTTTCACAACGCTGAAAGAAAAGACACGGGTCACTTCTCATTCGCGTCCAGAAATGCGACGGCCAGACATCGCCACCCCATCCAGGATAAGCTCCATTCATCGGCTCCAGGTAAATGACCCTTTCATTTGAGATTTCGACCAAACGGTCCATGTCGCACTGTCCATTGCATGTGAAGTTCCAGGGCCTCCAAGAAATTGTCGAGTTGAGGTCGTCAGGCATCTTGCAGGTCGTTATATCTGGAAAATAGCAACTCAAGTGCTTCTCGTCGCAGCCATCAAATGTAGCATACTCCCAACGCTTTCCTCCAAGTCTTCGCGGAGCTGGAATCACTGTGCGATTCAGCTTCATACCAAGCGATAATGCCCGGACGAAGGACTGGAAGTTCCACATGAGACCTGCACGCATTTTGTGTTATGGCTTTTCCTGCCAGCGTTAGCATCAGAATGCGTAAAATCGAACTGCTTTGTTACCGCTAACGTCAGCCTCCACGACCATAAGCTTCGCGTCATCGCATGATTGCGGATGCTGGAGTTGTGTTATGGCATCGTAGATCATCACATGAGCAGCCTCCGTCCACTGCACAGGGTCCCTTTTCTTTCTTCTTGCCACCGTGACATTCGCCGTCAGCTTCTCTTGCAGGCCACTCACATTGCGATTTCCTTCAGGAGGGACGAGAGCGTAACAACTGTGCTTGGATTTGAGGCCATCTGGAAGCAGGCACAACGATCGGCCCTTCAGGTCTACGTTGGCCAGCTGAATTACGAAGAACGAAAACAAGGTTGCAGCAATGGTGATTAGAATTCCACACTGGCAAGGCCTGCAAGGAAGGCCTTTCTCCATCCCGACCGACGACTTCGAAATCTCAGAATGACGAACTTCGTGAATGAAGTTTCTTAGGAGAATGGCGGAGTGTCACCCACCTGAAATGCAAGGCAGGCTCCCCACCCACCACATTCCCAAGGCAGAAGGGGAGGGGCTCGACTCGACACTCTCAAGGCAAAAGCAATTTCAGTTCGCTTCCGTATCCTAAAAGAATCTTCAACAAGAAGCCACCTTCACATTTTCATCCAAAACTGGATTTTCCATTGCTTGACTCTGCTCGTATCATTAGAGACATCATCACTTTCAAAGTAATCAACCCCACATATTATGCACATGCATGTGTTCTTTGCTGCAGCCATGCTTGTTATTGCCACGGATCTTGAGAAAGGGGTACTGTAGGTATTTGAAGCCTGGCCTTATGCCTTGGAGGATCAGCCGGGTCTGGGTTGTTTGATGTCGAAGTCTGAGCGGCTGTCGGTCTTTTCAATGTGCGGTTTGCAATGGACGATCCCATTACAGCTCTTGCAGTTGTGAAGGCTGCCCTAGGAGATGAGACGCCGCTTGCTAGCCTGGGGGGCTTCTGCACAAACCCAGGAGTGAGAAAGACGAATGGCAGGGCAACAGGAACGATTGTCAGATATTTCCAAACCAATATTTCAAACCAATGAAAGTGGTTTAAAGCCAATGGAAGTGGGCATGCATGTATGTACAGCGCTTGGAAGCGCTTGAAATGGAAAATACACACACTACATTACCATACAGCCACACACATCACCACGTGACTCACGAACTGTTGTCTCAAAGAAGCAAGCCTGCTGATGGGTGGGAGCTGCATGCTCGCAGTTTTACACCTTCTCAGCTCGACTCATTGCCTTCTTCTTGCAGTCCAACGTGGCTCTCTTGCCTCACAACACACAAGCATACACCTGAACCCACCATCAAACAACTTACAAACTGTTGTCGCAGGGACGCGAGCCTGCTAGTGGGAGCTGCACGCTCGCGTTTATACGCCTCCTCAGCGCGGCTCATTGCCTCCATCTTCCTATCAAACGTGGCCCTCTTGCCCACCCGCCTCTCCACACGGACGATCTTCTCCGTTGCCTCGTCCTCGCCTGGCATTGACTCCAGGGAAAACAGGCACACATGATCAGGTACATGTCAGCATAAACAATGGAAGATATGACACCAAGCTTTCATACAGCATTGCCATCAGAGTGTCACACGGTCACAAATTCTCACCATCTGAGCCGGAAATGCTCTCTTCAGGCTCCTCCTCATCGTCCCTCTTCCAGAACTCGCTCTCCACCAGCTGCTTCAGCTTGGTAGACAGCGGTGGCCTGCACGTGGAACATAAGACAGGAGGGAACAAACAAGAATGGTTGTCACTGCGCCCACAGGCCTTCTTCAGGCTCCTTCTCATTGTCCCTCTTACAGAACTCGCTCTCCACCAGCTGCTTCAATTTGGAAAATAGCGGTGGCCTATGGTTGGAGCGCAAAACGAAACACAGAAAGGACCCATGTCGTGTATGCTTCAGGTCACACTTATGCTCTCGTCCACCACCTCCTCATCGTCTCTTTTCCAGGACTCGCTCTCCACCAGCTGCTTCACCTTGGTAGACAAAGGTGGCGTGTGCTTGCATAAAGAGAGAGACAAAAACACAGTGAGTATTTTCTGCCCAAAATAAGCTCTCTTCCCGCCCCTCAAACCGCAAAAATCAAAAGAGACTGGCTCACCTGCCCATCTGCACCCGCGGAAAGGCACCGCTGCCACCAACAGCACCACTCTCCCGAAGCTCCTGAAGAGCTGCCTGCACTGCGTGTGGTGCCTTGCACACGTCACAGCCGCCCGCACACAGCCTTGGGGTGGCCTGGACGAGATGGAGGAGCAATGGGGGGAGAGATGGAGGAGCAACGGGGGGAGAGATGGAGGAGCAACGGGGGGAGAGATGGAGGAGAGACGGGGGGAGAGATGGAGGAGAGACGGAGGGAGAGATGGAGGAGCAACGGAGGGAGAGATGGAGGAGCAACGGGGGGAGAGATGGAGGAGAGACGGGGGGAGAGATGGAGGAGCAACGGGGGGAGAGATGGAGGAGCAACGGGGGGAGAGATGGAGGAGCAACGGGGGGAGAGATGGAGGAGCAACGGGGGGAGAGATGGAGGAGCAACGGGGGGAGAGATGGAGGAGCAACGGGGGGAGAGATGGAGGAGCAACGGGGGGAGAGACGAAAACGATGAGAGGGAAGAGAGTGAACAAGGGGGAAGATGAACTGCCAGAGGGGCCACACCGGGAACAGGCAGGCATAAGGGCTTCCATTCCATGCATGGCTGATGGTAAGACTATGACAAACGCGCACCATTCCACAAGGGATGAATAAATTTGCTATGGCTGATGACGATTGCTAGGGATTCCTAGGGAATTCACCCTTTAGGCAATCCAGCCACTGTGACACACGCTAGGGATTACAGCACTTACTGCCTCTCCAAAGTGTGTCAGCAGCTTGATTCTGCGACACGACAGGAGCTCGCAATAGTCCACCATCTGAATCAAGAATTAAAAACCAGGCAACCAGGCAACCGGGCAAGCAGGCAAGCAGGCAACCAGGCAAAACGAGGGGACAGAGACCAGTCAACGGCTAACCATCGGAACAACAGAAAGGAGGAAAATCAACTGTCAGTAGGGGCAACCAGGCAGAACGAGCAGCCAACAGGGCAAATCTTCTAATTCCGAACACTTGGGACCCCAGAGAATACCAGCAAGGAACAAACAGCCAAGTGGCTAGCCTAGCACTCCAATCTTGGTAATTGAATGTGGCCTAGGAGAAGGCTTCTTGTGCAAACCTTTTGAAAGGCATCAAGGCCGTTCTTGACCCGCTGGGGTGATGCTGTGCCTTTACCCCTCGAACCATCGTCCTTCTTTATGATGAACTCCTGGAGAGGTGGGGAGATGGGGGATGGGTAGTGAGGGGATGACAGACAACGGGGAATGGGGAGATGAATGTATGTGGGCGACGCTGTGCCTTTACCCCTTGCGCCGTCGTCCTTCTTTATGGTGAAATCCTGGAGAGGTGGGGAGATGGGGAATGAGGAGGGCGGGGATGACAGACAACGAGGAATGGGGAGATGAATGGATGTGGGCGACGCTGTGCCTTTACCCCTTGCGCCGTCGTCCTTCTTTATGGTGAAATCCTGGAGAGGTGGGGAGATGGGGAATGAGGAGGGCGGGGATGACAGACAACGAGGAATGGGGACATGAATGAATGTGTGTGGGTGATGCTGTGGAGATTGGGCTAGAAGATGGGGAGAGGAGGTGGTGGGGATGGGGAAGGTTGGGATGAGGGATGGTAGGAAGAGGGGAGATGAAGGGCCAACATGCACACGTCCTTACCATTGTCCTGCAATTGCACCCTGTAGTATAGAATGCTGCGGCGGAGCTGCTGGTCCCTGCCTATTTGTATAAGGGGAACCTTGCCCATGCAATAACGTGCTTCCATCCATCCGTACACGCAAAAGGCATCTTACCATTATCCTGCGATCTTGCACACCGTAGTAGACAATGCTGCGGCAGGGCTGCTGGTCCCGGCCTGCCCGCCCTGACTCCTGGTAGAAGGCCTCGATGGACTTGGGAAGGGAGTAGTGGCACACCAGCCGCACTATCCCCCGGTCTATGCCCTGCATGGAGGGAGGGGGACGGGTGAAGGGAGAGAGACGCGTGAAAGGGAATGAGCAGGGGAGAGAGAGGAGCGTAGGGGAGTGTGAGAATGCGGTGCGGGGCTGCAAGGCCATGACGCACTTGGGCAGGAGTAGTGGCACACCAGCCGCACTATCCTCCAGTCTATGCCCTGGAAACGAGACACAGAAGAAACAGACATGCGAAGGAAGGAGAGATGTGAGGCAATGCGTGTGAGAGCACATAAGCAATGCACTTAGCAGGCAATCAGATGCAGAGACCAGCAAAGGACTGGGACCAGCCGCCTATCCCTCGGTCTATGCCCAGCAGGGGGGGAAGAAAGGGGAGGAACGGAGACATGGCAAGCGAGATATGAGACGATGGCACGTAAACAAAGCGCTGGGCAGGCAATCGGAAGCAATTCTGTCTGATAGAGGAATTTCAAGACCAGCCCAAAGCACAAATATAGCTGGCTAGCACGATGAGGGCGAGATAGCTTTCTGAGGTTAGGGATCAAAGTTTCTTTGTGCGGTTGTTCTCAGCTGGTTTTCAGCTGGTGTTTGTGAAGCATGGAAGGGAGGCGAGGAGCAGGGCCAACTCACCATCCTGCATTGCAGAGAAAACAGAAGAAAAAAGAAAGGAAAAAAGGTTGATTGAAGATAGGTAATCAGAGCGAGGAGATTCCGGCAAAGGAATGGTCAAGAAACAGTATGCTCGGTGTCCTTGACAGATAGCGGTAGTACTTTGAGATGTGTCAAATCACAAGGCACAATGTTGAGGTGCGTGTGTGTGCTGTGCTGTGGCCTACCCAAAGGCGACGGTAGCAATCATAATCGGAACCTTTCCTCGCGACCACTCGTCCAGTGCACTCGTGCGAGCCGAGGCTGACAGGCCTGCATGGTATACTGCAGGAGAGAAAGACCCGGGGAGGATAGTTCTGGGAAGTTTAAAAGAGGAGTGATAGGTCATTCGACCACTCCAATGCACGTGTGCAAGCCAAAGCTGACAGGCCTGCAAGGTGCACTGCAGGGGAGAAAGTGAGGGCGGAAACGGAGAAAGAGAGGGGAAGATCCCGTGAGGAACTTCTCCACAGAAACACACCAGGACTTTGATAAATATTAGTCACATCTCCCCACCCGCGCCATCCCCATCCCCATCCCCAAGACCCGCACCACCTCCCTTTCCCCCTTTTTCTACCAACATCCACACCTTTGCATCTGAGCCCATCTCGTGGGAGCCAACAGCCGAGCTCTTCGCATGTGTTGCGCGAGTGGCAGTAGATGATGCAGCACTGCTCGTGGGACGCCAGCAAAGCATCCCCAGCCAGCACTCCCCCTTCCCTCTCCACCACACCCCCTTCTAACACCCCCCTCCCCCCCCCCCACCCCCCTTCTTTCTCCCCTTCTCCCCCCCCCCCGTCCCTCCCTCTGACGCTCACCTTTGCATCTGAGCCCGTCGCGTGCGAGCCAGCAGCCGAGCTCGTCGCATGTGTTGCGCGAGTGGCAGTAGATGATGCAGCACTGCTCATGGGACGCTAGCAGCGTGTCCCGCAAGTCCTTGTACGGGTCTATGAGGTCCTTGTAGCGGACTGGTGGCGAGAAGGTGGGTGGGGACAGCATGCATAAGCGAGGGAGGGATTGGGGAGGCATTGAGTCGTGTAAGTCTTTGTACGGGTCTATGCGGTCCTTGTAGCGGACTGGTGGGGGAAAGAGCCGACACATGCATGAGAAGAGGGGGCATAGCCACATAGTCAAGGGAAGAAAGGCAGGAGAAAACGTTTGACGTGCGCAAGTCCTTGTCCGGATCTATGAGGTCCTTGTAGCGGACTGCATGAGAAGAGGGGGAACAGACAAGGGAAGAAAGGCAGGGTAGAACGTTTGATCTGTGAGGTCCTTGTAGCGGACTGATGGGGAGGAAGCGGTGCAAAGAAAGCCGAGCACGAGGGGAGGGGTGAGGTCCTTTAAGATTCGAGAGCCGAGCTTGCATCAAAGAAAGAATACAATGAGGGGAAGGAAGCAGGGTGTCTTGCCAGTTCTGGACTGATTGTGGGAACTCACCTTCATAGTCGATGTTGGGTCTATTAAAGGAAGGAAGACAGAAGGGTTGTAGGGTTGCGGAGGCAGAGGGAAAGTTCTGGACTGCTTGTGGGAACTCACCTTCATAGTAGATGTTGGGTCTATTAAAGGAAGACAGAAGGGTCGTAGGGTTGCGAAGGCAGAGCGATGACACAATGTCCTCTCGCACTCTGCACACAGCAGCAAGCAAGTTGTGCTGCAGCTCGTTACACCAAACTCGGGGTGGGTGTGTGCTCAACGCAATGAGAGAGGCAGAGAGCAGTATAAGTCCTACAACAACTGTAGCAGTGAGAGCAAAGGCTGGGACGTAGGCGACGAGGGAAGACAGTGTACAGGTTTTACTCACTTCGCGACAGCTGTGGCAGTGAGAGCGAGGATCGGAACGTTGGGGTACTGCTGCCGAAGAGTGGAGAGCTTGCGATACGCAGGCCGGAAGTCATGCCCCCATGACGAAATGCAATGAGCCTGCAGCAGATTGGCCGACCGCATGCAAGAAGCACAGCACGTCAAACCCCAAGAAGAGTCCAGCAGCGAATCAGACCACCCTCCTCATGCCGCAGGCAGGCAGAGATTGATACGCAGGTCCGCTTAAAAGTTTTCCTGCCAAATTTTCCGCAGTTTTCACCTCATCCACAGCGAAGAGGCTGAGCAATCCTCTACCATTCAGCTTCCTGAACACGCTCAGTATGGTGTGGGTGTCCACTGCTTCAACGCTTTCCAGCCGAAATTCCACGCTGCTCACCTCATCCACTGCTCACCTCATCCGCTGCTCACCTCATCCACAGCGAAGAGGCTGAGCAGCCCCCTGTCGTTGAGCTTCCGGAACACGCTCATGATGGTGTGGGTGTCCACTGCTTCCGGAGTCACGTACAGCAGCTTCAGTGCCGGCCTTCCACTTCCCAAATCTGCAAGAATCTGAAACAAACAAGAACACAGTACCACTAAAAATTAAGAGAACAGCTGACGAAGAACTTGCATGCATGTGGCCGAGAAGCGCGTGTTAAAAAAGTTATCAAACAGGCACGGCTTACAAAAACATATGCATGCAGAAAAACCGAAAATTGCTCTGCTGCTCGTTTCAGTTTCGCTGTATTCAGGATTACATTTCCCCGTTTTGCAGCCGAAATGGACGATGAAAGGTACTCCGCTGGAATATTATTCTTTCTCAAGGACTCGACTTGATTCTGCATCAAAGCTGAGATACGCAGGAACGGTGAGGAACATTAGCAGCGCAGAGTGTGGCGTCAAGATAGAGATGGCAAAACTAGAACCAGCATGGGAAAAAGGGATAGAGCGAGAGAGTGGCATAAACCGAACGAAGCGAAGCGAATTGGCGTGGTGTGGCGTGGCGTGGTGTGGTGTGGTGTGGTGTGGTGTGTATGCCACGAGAGGCTGGCTGACCAATAAGCGGAGAGACGACGATGACGACTCCCAGTTTCATCAGCGCGGGGATCTCGTAGCACAGCGACTTGCCACCTCCGGTCGGCATTATGCAGAAGCAGTCAGACCCTGCAACCGAGAAATAATTGCAATATTTAAAATATAGCCCGAATTTAGGTTCCTAGGCAGCCTCACAACGACTTCTTAGAGCCATCAACGCGAAAGATATGCGGAGTTGTGTAGCAAAAGGCCCATAGAGTAGACTGTGTACCTGATAAAACCGCTCTGATTACTTCTTCCTGATTCCCGCGAAAACTGCCACAAGATACCAAACGCACGATTGAGTTCGGCCTCGTTCCACCGCGCTTGCCTAAAAGAGAGCGAGACTAACCTGAGATAACCAAAGTACTTCTTCAGAACACTGAGTGGATCCAGCATGGCTTCCGTGTGGGCTTCTCCTGTGTTGCTAGGAACAGGAACTTCAGGAGGATTTTCCATGGCTGCTGAAGTAAGCGTAACCGTGACGCTGGTTTCTTCTATTTGTTGATGGTTGGATTCGCTGGTTCTGTTTCTCCTGCTTGAGGAAGGAGCCATGAAGTCTGTGATCCGGGAAGCCTGAGCGGGTGGAGAGGGGGACGGCTTCGGTCTGGCCATTCTGTCTGAGACTGACAACAGATGGCGGATTCCCTCCACTCATATCAGGATTTCCTCGAGGGAAGATGGGCGACAGAAACGAAAGGCGGACATGCGATGGAATGAGAGGCGTTGTGGAGGTTACAGAGTCAAAATCGCCCGGCGATATCGATGGCGATGTGAACGAGACGGGACGAACAAATCGCCACACACTAAAAGTTGCATAGCATTGCAAGCTACAGTAAATACACCTCTATGTCAACACCACATGTTCGAGTTTAGTACAGCATCTTGTAGGTGATGACTTCCTCATAACCAACGCATGATGTCTAACTACAAAATATTTGCACAAGTGTACTATGTTACATTGTGCTATCATCCAATAGCACTTGGTGCATGCATCCATATCATATTGACCACCATGTGTTGCCAATAGGAAAATCTTTTGGAACAACTGAATGATATATATGCTTAATAGTAATATTCAAATACTATTGTGTCCACACAATGGTAGTTCAATTACAGTAATGCATGTTGAAGTATACTCGACAGAGTTTACTTATGCATTCCTGATAATACATAAGTAATGACGACATAAGTATACTTATAAGTATAATACATAGACTGTACTAATAGTGTGATACCTCATATGGAAGGACGCGATTGATGACGACAGCAGTAGAGAATCAACGAGTAAACAGTAGGTTCGCGCGTATAGTCACCTGAAGGGTCACGCCACTCTCAGTCACATGAACAGTTACCAGTCACGTCACGCGAATAGTCGCGATACACAACGAACAGGTACATACCGAATACTTATTTCATCGACTAGACTATAAATATGCATGTATTACTTATTATTATTATCATTGTCATTTCAGACATTTCCAATACAAGGTGTAAAGTCTTCCGCTGACTTTGTACACGTGGTTCTACCAACTCTAGATCCTTGCCACCCTAAACACGTGATTCATTTCAACATGGTATTATGAGCAGGTAGAGTTACAGGAACCGATACAAGCTGATTTCGATTACGCCCTTAAGCCTAAGTCATAGATCTATAATTATGTCAGCTGCTAAGACAGGAAATTCAACTACGAATTCTCATACTTCTGGTCTTTCTACTGACGATCTATCTGACTTCGCTTCTTTGATGGCTAATCAGTCTACTCAGCAACAACAACAAGCTCCAGCACATCCTACAGCTTTTATGAGCCTTGATAACTCTAGGATCATCTTACTTTGATGGCCATTAATCGCGACCATCATGAGCTGCTGTTGCCGCTGGGCCTTCGGTCCTTGGAGATGAATCTGCTGGGTCTTTTGCCTTCCATGGGTGACCTGCTCAACCACAGCAACAACTACAACAACAGCAGCAACAACATCAAATGGCAGAAGAAAGACCATTTGCTGCAGAAACTATCGTAAATCAAGCAGATTTTCTAACCATCTCCAAGTTGAAACCCTCAACTTAATTTGATGGTCACGATTTCTAAACTTGGGGATTCGAGTTCGAACTCCTCTCGCAATCTTCTGGTATATTTTGACGGTGCAATCCGTTATCCATAAGCAAGATCTACCAAAGAACAGTCGCGTTAATACAAGTATTCGCTTATGGCCTATACACTACTGGTGCAGAATCTCTCACCTGAAGAGCATTTGGTAGTTCGGTGCTTCAAACCTTCACTTGATCCACCCTACTACGCCTGGGATTATCTGCGAAGGTTGTATCAAGCACAAGATTCCGTTTCACGGAGCAAGCTGTTAAGTCAACTTACAACTAGATCAACAGGTGCAGAAATCTTCGGGACCAGCTTTGGCAAGCGCGGAGGAAATCTCAGTAACGAGCTCCTTGTCACTATTCTTCTGGCTGGACTTGGTCCCGAATGGAGGCACTGCAAGTCCCTTCTTCGTTCCCAAGGGAACATCTTAGAAACTTCTCTTTGCGCTACTCTAATGGCAGAGCAGCAGGACTTGGACATGTACAACGACAAAGGAGGCAAAGCCAAGAGTGGGTTAAGCTTCTATACATGTGGACCAAGTTAAGGGGAGCAGACAAGAGGTGCATCAAATCAATGGGAGCAGACAAGAAAATGAGGAAAGGCCTTCTGCAAGTTCCGCAAACGAGCATGTCATTACACTGGCGGAAAGAATCGTCAACATGTTTTGCACTTTTATGAATTTAGGCCGATTAAGGGCATGTGTACATTAAGCCTTAATTGAAGGCCTTACCCACTGTATGCAGGCCAATATAAGAAAGAAAGTCAGAGCTTTACATTTGATGAAACAACTATAGTTAACAGATAAAAGCAGACATAAGCAATCACGGTACATCCGGACAATTAGTGCCAAGCGCAGGCAGCAACTTTAAGTAGTACATGGTCCACCGCCCTTTTGCTTTAATCACCGCCTTCATCCTCCTGGGCATGCTGTCGATCAAGTTGGTGCACACCTCTGGTGATCCGGTCCACCATACCAGTGGGAGGCATCTCATGCTTACCCAGCTCCTTCTTGAGATGAGCCCAGAGATGCTCAATGGGGTTGAGATCGGGAATGGAAGATGGCCACTCCAGCACCCCAAACTCCTGCTCTTGAAGCCACTGCTGCACCAGACGGGACTTGTGCTTGGGGTCGTTATCATGCTGGAAGTGTCACAGGATCGAATGTGTCGAGGAAAGGTTGCACTATCGATCAGTACAAGGCGCTTTTATACTTCCAGAGTACATCAAGTAACCAGGTTTATCCTTATCTAAAGGAATAGACCCTTCTAGAAAATAGAATCACCCTGCGTATAGCCACGCGAGGCTATTGGCTTTAAGAGATTACGACAGGATTACGCTAGATAGCGTGTCTAGAACATTCCATGCTTGGTCGGTGATATAATTATAATAAGGGAAGAAACCAAAGGATAATGGAAAATGGGGAATATGAGGCAAAAGGAGATGAGATAAAAAGAGGAATGAAATGAAGATGAAATATGGAAAAGGCCAAGTGGTGTAACGGAGTCGTACTCTCACACTTCCCCCCCGCAAAGCTGGGTGGTAGAAGTAACACCCTGCTTGACAAGGTAGTCATGCAGAGGACGACGGGCGTTACCCATGTCGGACTCAGGTACCCAGCTGTCCTCAGAAGGATCATAACCCTTCCAACGGATGAGAAGCTCCACGGTGCCATTCCGACGACGACGATGTGCAAGCACGGACTCGACCTCGTACTCGGGTTCGTTCTGGACGAGGACGGGCGGCGGCGGCGGCGGTTGGCGTCCGACGAAGATCGTATTAGGATCTCGGTAGGGCTTCAGAAGTTGGACATGGAAGGCGTTGTGAATCTTCCAGGTAGCTGGTAGGCGTAAGCGGAAGGTAACAGGAGTGACCTGTGCTTCAACGAGAAAAGGCCCGCAGAAGCGAGGTCGAAGTTTAGATGGGAGATGGCTGATGTCCAGGTTGCGGGTGTCAAGGAGAACCTGGTCTCCCACGGAAATGATGTGGTCGTTGCGATGGCGATCGGCCTGGCGCTTCTGTTGCTGTTGAATGTCAAGGAGGCGCTTATGGGTCCGATCCCAAAGCTGATGCATGGTTGTGATGAAGTCGTGTGCAGGTTGGACTGTTGCTGGTGTTGTCGGTTTCTGTGGTGTGAGTGGGTGGCGTCCGTAGCAGAGGAAGAACGGCGTCTGTCCCGTAGCGGCGTGTGTAGCGTTGTTGTAGGCAAACTCCAGGACGGGTAGGTGCAAGTCCCATTTGGAGATGTCGTCCTTGCAGGCTGCTCGGAGGAGTTGCTCAACAATTTGGTTGAGGCGCTCGGTCTGTCCGTTTGTCTGCGGATGGTATGCGGATGACATGGCGAGTTTGGTGCCGAGAAGAGACATAAGTTCCTTCCAGAACTTGCTAGTGAACTTGGGGTCTCGGTCGGAGATGAGTGTAGTTGGGATGCCATGCTGTGAGATGATGTGACGAACGAAGAGCTGTGTTGTCTCCTCGGTGCGTGCCGTCGTGTGTGTCGGGATGAAGTGTCCCATTTTGGAGAACTTGTCAATGACGACAAGGATGGCGTCATGACCGCTGGAGGTAGGTGGTAACCCGGTGATGAAGTCCAGGCTAACCACTTGCCATGGTTGTTCTGGGACAGGAAGAGGCTGCAGTAGTCCCGCCTTTTTCTGCTTGCTGCTCTTCATCCGCTGACATGTATCACACGAGGTGACGAATTTCTGGACGTCGTCTGCCATATGGGGCCAGTAGTAGTGTTTGGCGATACCGGTGAGCGTCTTGTTGCTACCGAAGTGTCCGGCGTACAGGACGTCGTGGTATTCTTCGAGTAGTAACTGGCGCAAAGGAGGGTAATTGGGTACCCAGATTTTTGTGGATCCCTTCCGGTATGCGATGTCATTGTCCCACTGTAGCAGATGTCGCTTTTCTGCCAAGGGAATTTCGGGGTCGATGGCGTACCCGTGGGTGAAGAGTCCCTTGAGTAGTGGATTCATCCCTTCGATCTGAATCGCGGCAACGTGTGCAGGCCGGCTGAGAGCGTCTGCTTTGTTCTTGTGGCCGGGCTTGTACACGATGTCGTAGTGGAAGTGTGTCTCGAGGAAGTCGATCCACCGGACCTGCCGCCTGGAAAGGTTGGGTTGTGTCTTCAAATATTTCAGGCTGCAGTGGTCGGTGTAGACGGTTGTTCTTCGTCCTTCGAGATAGCATCTCCACGCTTTGAAGGCGATGATGATAGCAAGAGCCTCTTTGTCGTGTATCGGGTAGTTGAGTTCTGCCCCGTGCAGTTTCTTGCTGAGGTAGGCAATGGGTTGCAGTCCATTCCCCTGGTCTTGCATCAAGACTGCTCCGACAGCCTGATCACTGGCGTCTGCTTCGATGACGTAGTCACGTTCGGGATCTGGCAGGATGAGCACCGGTGCGGATGTGAGTGCTTGTTTCAGCTGCTCCACGGCTTCCTGGTGCTTTGGTTCCCATTTGTAGGGCGTGTTCTTCTTCAGCAGATTCGTGAGTGGTGCTGCGATTTTCGCATATTGTG